ATATGTAGTAAGAAAGAATATTGTGAGATTCAAAAGTGTCTTAATACAGTTTTATAGATTATGATCAAACTCTATAATTATTCTGTCATTATCTTACTTATTGTGACACTGTAAGTATTTTTTACTCATTATTATAAGTGATGTATAGGAAGATTGAATTTCAAGTATTTGAATCATTTTACCTTGTTCAACACAAAACTATTATTTAAGCATTTCTATTGTAATTTCTATTTTGGCTTTACGCTGAAAAATAATACACTTTTTTCATTTTATATTTGATGAAAAAGTTATCTTTTTACATGTAATTAATAAAAGTAGTAGTTCTTGCCAGATGATGTATTCCTCCTGCCCTGCGGCATCTTGGCATTGCTTTTGGAAGATTGTGGTACTAAAGTAAAATTAAATAGATAGGTGAGTATTGCACAGAACTAAACCTTTACAATTTGACAGTTTATTTGGCAAATGAAGCAGAATGTAAGCTTAATTAGTTTCAGAACAGTAACTGTTTCCATAATGCGGTGGGTCTTCATATGGTTCTTATTTCAAAATTCTTTTCTTCTAACAATGAACCAATACCTAAGGCAATAATATCAATAAAAAGGACTATTAATTAATAATATTTAAAGTATGGAAACAAGTTGATAAAAAATTTCAATCTAATGAAAAAAATTAGGGTTGTTAAAAAATGAAAGGAACAATGGGGTTAAGTTAAACCAGAATAATAATTAATGTTTCAATTAATAACAAACGTCAATTAATAAAAAAATTATTAGTCATAAAAAATACAAAGATTTGAAACCCTACTTAGCAGAGAATTATGAAGGAGTATTGTTTCCTTTGGCATGACAAAATTTTAATGAAAGTATGACAACCAAACTGCTTTTTCCAGCCAACAAAAGTGTTGCAAGTTTATTAACAACTCCTAACAAGTATATGCATTACTTTTTAATTTTTAGATATTGTACTTATTTACAAAAATTAAAGAATGCAATAGCCAAATAATTATCAGATGTTTAATTGTTATGACTGTAATGTATTTAATCCATACCATTTAAAAATTGTAATTGATATATATCACAATAATTAATTTTCATGAGATAAATGTAGCAGAGCAATTAAAGGCATGAATATTACTAAAATTCTATTTATATTGTAGTCTGCCTATTATCATTTTCTGCAAAGGAGGGTTGGAAAGCTTTGTATTATTATTTTCATAAATAGTTATTTTTTATTAATTAACGTTTATTATTATTAATTTACCTATTAATTATTATTATGGTTGAACTCAACCCTTTGTCTTTTTAATTTTTTTACAACCCTACTTTTTCTTATTTAATAGAAATTTTTTTATTTATGGCAATTGTATTGTAAACATTAATGTGGTACAAGCATTTATTACATTTATCATATGTACAGTTTGTAATGACTTCGATTATAATGTCTTTTTGCCTTATAGAAAATGCAGTTTATTTAGAATATTTAATTGACAATGGTTTTAGTGAGTCAATTTTATTGCAACTGCTCTTTCATGAATATAGTGACTTTAACTGGACTATTCCTGATACCTGCTCTACAAGTATTATTTAATCATACTTGCATTCCTTTCTCAAGATATCTGAAATAACCAAAGATTGTTTTAAATGTTGTATTGGTCAACTGTGTTGCAAATTAGATCCATACAGGTCAGAAAGGAACTTTCACCAAGACAATGCCTTTCGCTTCGTTAAAAGGCATGTTAATGGGTCAAAACCAGTGGCCACCAATTCCCAGACAGCAGAATCTGATTCAGAAGCAGCGATGTTGCGAATCTCTTTTTTAACTACTAGTGTTGAAGCATCGACTATTGATAAATGTTATCCCCCCATACATTGGCACTTGCCACAGTAGTTGGGCACGTGATGATGAACATACATGAAGAAAGCAAAAAGTATAGTGACTTAGCAATGCAATTTGAAGAGTGTAGAAAAATACATAAAAATGAGTCTCTTTAAATAAAGCCAAGAAATAAAAGTGCCAAATTGCGTATTGTGCGATAGTGTTGAAAAAAGTTACTACAATCAATGAATTACAACATAAGTTGGCATGTATTACAGCTGAACTCAAAACAGCTTATTATATGTTGGACAATTCCAAGAAAAATGAGGAATGATGAGCTAGGATATAAGATTAACTTTTGAAGATTTTTAGTTGTCTGAACATGTCAAAGAAGATTTGCAGGGAGGAAATTTTGAACTAAAAAGGTCATTTCTTTAACACAGACATATTAACATGTGAACTCTGAAGGGCAAACTCTGACAAGGTTTGACACAAAAAAAGGGAAAGCACTATTTGTTACCAATGAGTTACTTGCAAATCAATTTGCAGCATCTAAAGTATCTGTATTGGTTAAGTCAGTAGTCAAATGTTTGTTCCCAAATGTTGATGTATCTACACTTCAGCTCCCATATTAAAGATGAGCTGGATTAATGAGAAGAGATGAGTTATTTAAAGTTGAGATGGCACACAAAGCACACTATTTTTGCGCAATAAAGTCTAAAAAATCTTTTCATTTTAATTCTGATGTCAATGCTTTAAATGAACATAAAATAAATGGTGCAGCAATCAATGATAAATTATTGGTCTTTCCTTGAATGAAGTGCCAGTTGGTAGTGCTGAAAGTGCCAATCAAGACATTGAACAGAGCTGAATAAACTGAGAATCATTGCTAGTCAGCTCAATCTTCCAATTGTACACTCAATTACCTGGACACTTGGCTTCCTCTACTTGCGACAGTGCCTCTACTTTCACAAGCTGCTTGAAGAAAGAAATGCACAAGATGAACTGAAATATGGCTGACACAAAAAAGATGGCATGGAGCATGTTCAAAACATTTGTGCAATGCATTTTGGGTCAATTGCAGAAAATTATTTCTGGAATCAATATCATCAAGTAACTCAGGGAGTGGCCATCAGAACACTCCAGTTCATACAATTGTTCTAGAGTGTGTTAAGAACTTGGGAGGACATGGTACTCCGTAGTACCTACTGTGTTGGTAATTTCCAGGTTTTCCTAGAATGCAGTTCCATCAAAGTTGAAAAAATTCTGAGTACCTCCAAAAATGTTTGACTATACGCTTAGAAAGGCAGGTTGGAAGTTGCTATTTTGTTATTGCAGCTAATGGCACGAAGGCCTTGTTTTTAGCTTGTGCTGCACTAGAATATTTGAAATTAATTGGGTATCTGAAAATAAAGGAAAAAAACTTAGAATTGTTTTTAAGGTTACAGGAGCAATTGCTACTGGCATCCAGTTAGGCTGTTACTTTAATGTTCTACATTGTGTATGCTGATATTGCAACTTTAGCTGAATCCATTGAGTTAGAAAAGTCAGCTTATGACATAAGAATTCGGAGACAAATTTCAAAAGTTAATGTGATCACTACTGATGCTGAGTTGGAAGATTTGCTTCAGAATATTGATAGCAATATGGCAGTAATAGGAGCAAAACAGAAAATAAGTGAAAATGCTTCGTAAACAATAGTTAGGAAAAAGTTAATAAATCGAAAAGTAGGACTGTTATTCACCAAGTCAGGAATGAGGAAACAATTGATAAGTTTAATGAAATTATTATGTGCAAGCCTTACATAGAGAGGCATGTATCTCCTAAGGTGACAGGAATAGGTTTGGTTTCAAGGATTAATAGTTGATTACAATACTATAAGAAAGATGCTTGAATTGGCATACATGAAGGAAGAGGAAAATTTCTGCAACGACTTAACTACTAATTTACAAGATGTTCTTCTTACATTTCTTGATGACTGATGACAATTACAGAAATTTAAAATGTACTTTACTAACTGCACTGCTTGATTCTAGCATAATCGTTATTATTCCTGTCATACTAATTATTGAAATAATTAATTCTCAAAGTTCATGCAATACTTTTCCAAGCACTTCTAAGAATAACATTGTCATACCTAAATTTTCAATATTGTAATGCATCCATGATTTATTCATAAATGTACTCATTGTTTAATGGTCATATGGTCATTCCTAGGAAAGCGAGTTGGCCTTTGTTTTCAAGAGCTAACAAATACTTTTAAACACTTGAAGAGCTTAAATTTAACGAAACATATCCAGAAACAAAAGTTTGACTATATGATATTCTTCTATTTGCAAAATAGTTACAATCTCTTTTGCCATAAAGTCATAAGGAACTGTCCATCAAAATGTAATCTTCAATAGCATCCACTACAATGAAATATGTATCATAAAAATGTCCAACATAATTATTGTAGCAAACTATTCTGTGGATGTCCCATAGTTTAGTTATACTGTCTATTGCCAATGATAGAATTTCATTTCATGAAATAAAGATGACGCTGCGAACAGTGCACAAATGACCTTCGAACTTAAGGTATGAGGAAGACATTTGTCCTATATCATACACAAAAAAATATGCTGTCTGTGTCCCGAAGGCAACATGGTTCATATTAAATGGATTTCATCAAACACCACAAACATTCATATTTCTTGATAGAGAAATATAGCTTTGTGGCTGCAATAGGTCGTACAACTTCACTGTGCCTTCTTTTAAGCAAGAAATGAATGAGTGACTGTCATGGGTAATCTAGTCAATTCCTGTAACTTTATGACAATGCTCCAGGTACGATCGTTGTAAATAAAGGCTTTCTGTGTCAAAGACATTAATAGGCCCACATAAATCTACCAAGAGTATAAATGGCTGAGGTGAGCCACCAGGATTAACACAATTTGCTCTCTTGGTTGAATTTAAAGGGTCTTTCAAAAAGCCATACAAATTTGTCCCCTGTTATTCCTAACACATTTAGCTCATCAGAATAGTCAAGGGTACACTGTAAAAAATGAATAGTAATTTTAACTACATTGTAGTTAAACAACTTCAGGTCATTGTGGTTAAATAACTGCAATTTATGTTAACTTAATGTCCATGGGTTATATTAAATTATTGTAGTTAAAAGTAA